GTCAAGTTTCCAACTTTGGAGGCCAGTTGGCATGGTATTTTTCAACACTGGCTGGGAAGGGGAGGCGGCAGATCTCTGATACTCAGCTCCAAGGTCAGAGCAGTGTTTCAAGCCCGAGCACTGGAATCCAAACTAGTATATGGCCCCTCAGATGCTGTTTAGAGTCATGGGATGGCTCCCTCCATGTGTAAATAACCATTCTCTGAAACTAAAATGCAAGCTAGTTTATTAACCTTGTGTGCCTTTCTGCATCTTCTTCAAACATATACAATGCTTGCTTTTAATCAGAAAAGGAAATACTTGGTTTGAACCAGTCTTCTTCAACCTGGTGTTCCCCAGATGTCCTGAACTTCATAGAATAGTAGAGTTGGAAGAGGCCAAGAAGGGTGATGGGTCCCACACTCCAAGTAAATCCATCCCTCACAGATGGCTGACCAGTTGCATCTTGAATGTCTCTAGTGTAGGAGAGTCCACAAGCTCCCTAGGTAATTGGTTCCATTGTTGTACTGCTCTAACAGGAAGTTCTTCCTGATGTTCAGCCAGAACCTGGCTTCCTGTAACTTGAGCCCATTATTCCATGTCCTGCACTCTGGGATGATTGAGGAAAGAGCCTCTCCTTCCTCTTTGTGACGGGCTCTCAAGTACTTGTCTCCCTTCAGTCTTCTTGAGGTTAAACATGCCCAGTTCTTTCAATCTCTCATCACAGGGCTTTATTTCCAGTTCTCAGTTCATCCTTGTTCTATCCCCATTAGTCTCTTGATAACATAGTTGGTGGTCAGAAATGCTGAGAGTTGGAAACTGCATCATGAAATTCTAGTTCTTATATGAGGTCTTTGAAACTGGATACATGTACTTTTGCTTGGGTTTCAAGTGAAGTAATATGTTTGAGTTGTAAACAATTTAAATTGATTAATGCAAGAGTTCATGATGAAATTCTGCTGGAGAATGTTGTGCAAATATTTATACATTATTCTTCAAAGAAAACAACAGGAGCATCTTGTAACATTCAGTTAAAATGTCTTTTATTGTGATTTTGTTTTGTACTAAAGCTAAACATAGGTTATAATGTATATATTGCAAGAATTAGTACAAAATTGGTACCAGTCATAAGGTAATAAGTGGGTTCACAGAACCCATACACAAAGATACAACATGGGTTCAGTGTAGATTTTTGATGAAACATGATTTATGTTGTCTGAACTTAGCCACAATAACAAGCCATGGTTGGTTAATCATAATCATTAATAGCCCGTAAAGAGAATCCATGATTTGTAGTTGGGTTGTGAACTGTGGGTTGCTTGTGGTTAGCAAACCCTGATCTGTTATCATTCCTAGGTTCAGACAACACAACAACCCACGGTTCAGCAACAACCCAGTCCTTGTGTGTGGGTTATCCTGTTGTCTGAATTCAGTCAACAAGTTTCCAGTCTTATTCCAGCATGTTCAATAGGGAAGATTCTTTTTGAGAAAACATACTGAACAGAAAGCTATTTGATGGACACGTTCAGTATGTTCAGGCCCTCCTGCTGAGTTTGGAGTCTCAGATGAAACTGAGGCTTCCTTCAGTCTCTCTACACACATACATACATTCTCTCTTTTTCATGTTATTGTTAAGAATGTCAAAATTGGGCAAGACCTTCCATTCCCAAGAAGTGGCTTGAAAACTCCAGTTGTTTGTGCCTCCTGGAAAAGCAGTTCCTTCATATCAGCTCCTTTGAGCCCCTCTAAAGTCTCCTATGCTGAAGGAATAAGAGGGACTCTTTGTGGCGATTGGGACTATGTGGGTACAATCATTTTCTAAAACCCACATTTTTAGTTCTGATGGTCAACAGAGTATTTGATTCAGTCCAAGAATTTCTAACAGTAGAAGACCGTGTTTATTCAAATAGGGCCTACCTAATTTGAATTGCTTTAAAATTGGGTCTTATATAGCCCTCCCCATGCCTTTGGCTGGTTTATTTTTAATGATGAGTATTCTGGGTTTCAGCCTCTGTAGCCTATCAGCATTTTGACTCATGTCCCTGTTTGGCTAATCAGGTCTCATTTACCTTTGACATCCTTTACAGGAACAGAATGGGCCATTACAGTTGCCTTGGAAACACTGAGATTAAATGCATATTGCCATGGCAACCTGCCATGATCTTCAGTTTCTATCTGTGGGACTCATTTCTTCAATAAGGGGTTTGAGGGTGAGCGATAGGGGGGTCTTTTGCGAAGCTGTCTTTTGGGCATGGAGCAAACACAAATGGGTTACAGTTTCTGCTTCAGGGTCCATGGCTGCAAAACTACCAGGTGATCTTCAGCTGATTACACACTTGCCTAAAAAACTGTTGTTTGGATTGACCTCATTAGCAACATTTTATGACTCAGATCTTGTCACTACCACCTCCTCCTCAGTGGATACCTTGAATTAAAAGTCTCTACATCAGTAGTTGAGAATGCTCCAAAGACCTCAGTGTAGCAATACTAGGCTTCAGTGATAGGAAAAGGAAGAAATGAAGAAACTAAATTTCAAGGCAGTCTATTAAGAAATGCAGCAGTGCATAGAGACAGGAAGGGGAATCAGCCTGATCGCTCTCATGATCAATGTTATACTACAATCTTGATCATAAATAAGACACATACAGAAAATGAGCTGAGATGTTCATAAATGATGGCAAACTGGTGTTTGACATAAACAGGAGGACATTCTGTTTACAGAAAGAAAGGATTAAAGTACATTCTATTCCATTTTAAGGGGTTTTAAGTCCTTAGCAATGCTGACTTTGGCTCATAACTCTGAAGGCTGAACAAATAAACCATTTTTAAAAAGCAATCTTATGATTTTAAGCTGATTGGTATTTTTGTTGAATATGGGAATTGACAGTTCCAGTGCACTGATTCTTCTTAGCTCATAGAGACACCGGATTGTAAAGCCATTGCATACTTGGTCTCTTCCCCAGTATTTGAATTCATTAACTCATTAAAAAGAACTTATATAGTAGATTATTAATGTACCATGCATGTGGTACCAAGTACCGCAAATGAGAGCTATCCAAAAACGCACGGAGTTGTTCAGATTCAAAAGATACACAACTTTTGGATGATACTCTGTAATGAAATACTGCTTTAAAAGTGACATCTTTGGGGGGGTTTACAAACAATGCACTAATGACCATTTAGAGCAGCCCCACTCTGCTGAGAAAGAAGGAAGCCTGTAAGAAATCTTTGACCTAATACTCCATCTGGGAGTTTCCATGGATGAATCTGGGGAAAGTAATAGGGCATTTGAGTAATAAGGGCATAGTAAAGTCAGCTATCTTGCCCTGTGTCTATGACCTACCTAATATAGCAACATTGACCCTGGAAACTATGAGTTTTGTGAAGTGTGGTAATACAGTTAGAAACATTAAATCCAGATCTTAGGTTTATGCACAAAAGCAAATGGAAGCTGTTTTCACTCACTGAGTACAAAGCCATGAAGAAGGTCTTCAGGGAGATGGTGCCAGCTGGAGGATTTTATTATGGGATGTGAATTTTAGAAGCATACAGGATGAAGTGGCATCTGGATGATACTTATTATAAGCTTGACACACCAGTTAAATTCTCCCAGATACAAGGTATGTGCCTTTGGCAGTGGTCAGTTGTGACACACACTTAGAGATTTTGCTTTGTGTTGATTAAGTATGTAAAATAGTAACTGGCTGTGTGCCTAGGCTACAATTTATGCAACATGGGTGGATTTACTAAGATCTTGAAATTAGTAAATAAAGGGTGCTGTCTTAGGCATTTCTGGACATTAAAATGACATAACACTGAAAAATTTTGCAAGAAAAAGGAGAATCTTACACCATGTTAAACTGGGTAGCATCTTGAAGAGTGCAATTGCCCTCATATCATGCTTGTGGATTTCCCAGTGGCACTGGGTTGGCCACTGATGTGGTTTGCACAATAGCAGGGTGTTTAATAAGACATGATGGACTTGTTAAGTGCCTTGTGTCTACTGGTTTCATGCCAGGAGGACAAGCATAATTAACCACAGCAGCATAGCTTGTTGTATTATGTGAACTTGCCATGAACTGTTTGTTGCTGAGCCACCCAGAATTCACGGGCAGCCATTTCCCCAGGGACCAGGGCTTTTTTTGTCATAGAATGCACCGGAACAGCGTTCCGGCACCTTTTTGTGATGGATTTTTCCAAGTGATTGTGAATTCCCCTGTTGGGCATAGCAGGTCGGAGGCAAAAATCATTAACATAGTGCCTGCGAGCTGCTTGTGTGTCTGCACTGATTGTGAGGGCACTGCTCGGCTTGGGACGCTGCTTGGCTTGGGATGCTGCTCGGCTTGGGATAGGTCATGTGGTCCCACGCTGAGTGCTTACTGCCAGCGGCGACCATTATGTTTATGTGTGTGTAGAGTGACTGGCTATGTGCAAAAGGTAAATAAATTCTTTATTTCAATAAAAAGTTGGTGAATTGAAAATCTTTTTTAGTGTAAAAGTGTGACCCCAAGACGTGAGTTCCGGCACTTTTTTTTTTTTTTTACAAAAAAAGCACTGCCAGGGACTATCATGAAAACAGACTGTGTGAACAGAATGGTGTATTAGAACAGCCTTTGGCCTGATCCAGCAGGGCTCTTTTCTTCAGTCAGATAGGAAGGACATCAGATGTGCTGATAGACAATTCTCCTGAGTGAGATTAATGATGAATGGGGCAATAGTGTCCTGACACCCCTTTGAATTGGTTTATGGTGCCATGCATGAGAAAGTGGACTCTCCTTTCTCTTCCCACACATCACACGTGAGAATTCCAAGCAAAAACTAAGATTTTGGAGCTTTGGGACAAGAACTTCTAGTTCATAATAGGACAAGAGTGCTGCAAAAGCATCTGTTCTTCTGTAGTATGGACAAAATCAGCAAGTCTGCTTTCAGAACGTTTTTGACCTGTTCCAGAATGCTTTTTGAGCTTTCTTGGACCTTACACTGAAATAAGCTGATCTGACCCTATTTGTGTTTTCATGCAGGTTACAGGTATTCTCAGCCATGGAGCAGAGCGTATGAGGCAGCATAATGTTGAATTCCATTCTTCAAATGTTTTCCTTTATTGCCCCCGATGTTTATGGAAACATTGAACTTTGGTGTCTAGGAAAGTCTGAGGCTGTTTTCATCACCCTCCCTTTTTCTCCACCTCTTAAAAAAAAATCAAAACTACTAGCTTAATGCCCATTGCATAGGTTTTACAATGAAAATGACAAGAACGCTAATAATACTTAGAAGGAGAGAGGTTTTTGGAGAGAAAACTCTGCAGCCCAGCCGTCTTTGGTGACAAAAGGAGAAATAACAGAGATATTCCCCATTGTGAGCAGAACTTTATCTCCCGGCAGCGCTCGAGCTTGTGTTGGGAGCGGGGAAGCAAGAGGCCTGCATGGCAGATTCCTCAGCCTGTTAACAACGTTCTTCTTGCAGTCCCAGCCATCCTACATTCCCAGATAACAGGCAGAGGCCAAAAATAGGATTGACACAGTGAAAGAAATTTCTTAATCCTTTCCAAGCCAAACAGAAATGTTTGAGTGAAAAGCCAATTCATGGGGCAAAGAAGAATTACACGGGAGAAAATTGGGTTCACAAATCAAAGAAAGCTTCTTCACTGAGGGGAAAAGACAAGAACTCTGCCATGTTAATGGGGAGAAGGCAGAAGTCTATTAGCAATGGCATCCTGGCTAGAGAGACTTTGGTGGAGCTGAAGGTGGATGGAGTAGAAAATGAACGACCATGCAAAACAACTCGAGTTTCACCAAGGAACCCCAGAGCCCCCATTCCCCGCTTTTTCCTGTTGAGGAGGTTTCCTCATCTGCTTGCAGTCCCCAAGTCTTCCCTTTCCCTTCCAATTTGACCTTTGCAGTTCCTGGTCCATGGCAATTATGCGTATTCTGCATTTGTGGCTTGGTGTATTTGTCAAGATTAAAACCAACTATCTGCTATAAATCTTCAGTTTGCACAGTTTTATCAAGGAGCACAATTCACTTTGATCAAATTTCCTGATTTGAGGAAGGACTCTACTGTGCACAGCAGCGCAAGGGGAGGGGCGCAACCTTTCTGTTTTGTAACAGGCATGTTGCATTGCCTTTCATAAGATACAGAAACTATTCCTGAAAAATGCTCACAGAGCAAGCTCGTGACATCATGTAAAACAGGTTGAATATAAATAGATTTCACGTGGGATATATGACCAACATAATTTATGTCTGTGTCCTATTAAAGAGCAGTGGAGCTAGGCCCGGAGGATCAGCCAAGAAATGGCATTAACATTGCTAAACCTGCATCTGATCATCCCCTGAGCTCCCTCCCCTTGGCGAAAGTGACTTCCTCTCCCATTACTTTCCCCACTGACCCACCCTTCTGCTTTCTCTCTTTGCTTTGGTTCATAAATCTTTCAGCAACAGAGCATGGTGAACACAAGACAGCTTGGAGTGGAGAGTTACACAAGCCTGCCATTTATCTTCCTTGTGTATTAAATGTGCTAATTCTTGGCCACTGAGGCATATGTGGGTAAAGCGCAACTTAAAATTTCATGAGAAAAGAAAACTATGGAAGATCTTAGAGCTTTCACAATGCTAGCATAAGTCATGACTTGATGTTGACTCACACAGATCGTTGTCTTGAGCAGTCTCTTTGGAATGGAGCACTTCTCAACTAAAACCATGGAAGAACTTGGCTGTCTCATTGGAACTTGTTCTGCTCTGTGTTGCAGCTGGAAAATAGAAACATAAAAACAGAGCAAGTCAGATGGGGCTCCTGGGCCATCTAGTCTGACCCCCAGCTCCAGCCGGCTCCGCTCACGACATGCCCACATGTGAATGTCTAGCCTATCTTTGAACACCCTCACCGATGTGTGGAAGCCCACCTCCTGTGGAAGCCCATCCCATACCCTCGGGGTCCTAACTGTCAGGAAGTACTCCCTGGCATCCAAATTGAACCTTGGTTCCCTGAGCTTTGCTCTGTTGGAGCGCGTCCTGCCTTCCTCTGCAGGGGAGAACAGGTCTCTACCCACCTCTGTGTGACATCCCCTCACATACCTGTATGTTGCCAACAGTTCCCCTCTGAGTCTCCTATTCTCCAGGCTAAAGAGACCCAGTTCCCTCAGTCTCGCCTCATACGGCATCCCCTGCAAACCGGCCACCAACCTTGTGGCCCTACGCTGCACTGACTCTAACCTGGCTATATCCTTCCTGTAATGAGGGGCCCAAAACTGAACACAATACTCCAGTTGTAGGTGCACCAGAGTCATATAGAGTGGTAGTAATACCACTGTGCCCAGTAATTTGAAAGAACGGGCTCTCTGTGTGTCCTACTTTACAGGGGACTGGCCTCTGCTTGAAGACCTTCTGTATCCGAACAATGATCCTGTCTGTATTTCTCAAAGATAATAATAAAAAGGGAAAGCAGACAGGGCCTTGAAGTTGCCTCTCAGGCCGTAGCACCTCGCCAGCAGACTGACATACACACCCCAGTTTTTCCCCTCTATGCTGACATACATTTCTATATAAGTTTATATCTAAATGTGCCTCTCTGCATACAAATCAACACATGCACTGTTTGTGCCAATCCTTCTCTTTTTGGACAGTACCTCCACAAGGCCTGCCCCTCCCATAGCCTTCTTCTTGGGCCTGCCCAATCTCTGGAGAGCTGTGCAGGCCCCAGTCTCAATTGATGAAGTCTTTCAGAGAACCTTCCCTCTCTTTGGTTGGTTCCAGGAGGCTCCTCAGAGCCAGGCAGAGGGCAATGCTGGGGAGTCCTGTGGGGCCATTCTTATGCAGCTACAGGTGCTGCAGCAGGAGAGCAGCTGGGGAGGTTCTCTGGACCAGTAGTTTTCAACCTTTCCACAGTTGAGGATTGGCAAAAACAAGAAATTCACCTCGGGGACCACCAAGGAAGAAACAAAAAGCACCACACACACAATACGATATTCTGTGTATTAGTTTCCAAACACAATACCAAAAAAATGAAAATTCTCCAAAACAACCAGGAACTGAGCAACAAAAAATGCCAACAAAAGAACAAAATACTGAAATTGGCGCGGTGTGGCTCCCAGCTGGCTCCCACCAAGCCATCTCTCCCCTTCCTGCCCCCCCAGCAGCACCAGCAACATCCCCCCCTCAACATGATGCCAACTGAGGAAGAGGTGGTGGAGCACAGCCAGCCTCTGTGCCAGCCTGCAGCAAGCAGGATGCAGCCCCCCTCCCCACCACAGACCAGTGGCTGAAAACCACTGCTCTGGACAACTCTAGTGTTGCCCTACTGGAACGAGGCAAGAGGCACACACAATCTGTGCTCTCCCACCTTAGGCAAGAGAATTGCACTACCACACACAACCCTGAGGACTGCACTATTTGGAGGGGCACCTTAATTTTAACAGCATCTTACTTTTTTCTTGTTCCTCCTTAGACAGCTGCAGTATAAGTAATGCACAGTCTTTTCCCAAAAGATCCCAATTCTGTAACAAGCTTATTCTGCATTCCAAATATTGTGCACAATGCTTAATTTATTTCCTTCAGACTGAAAATCAAGAGCTCATTCCAGCTAAAGGGAAGTTGATCTTACTAAGATAATATTCAGCACACACATAATTCTCACATAAAGGTGCTTAACCTTGGTTGAACTGTGCTTTGTTTTCACAAAATTTAGTATTTATGGGAATGACCGAGGGCAGAGTCAAGATGTTATAGGAAGAAAAAAGTTTGGAAAGTTTCACCTTTTGAGAATTAGCATTTGTAGTTCTGTCAAGTTTCTTTTTCCTTTGAGATGGGAGGAAAAGTGGTACATTTTAATTTGAAGCAAGGAAAATGACTACCCCATGATGCCTGTAGAATTTTGGTAGCTGCTTGGTGTATGTCACCAAAGAAAGAGGAAATGCTTCACCAGGATTAGGACACAGATTTGGATAAGCCAGTACAAATTTGGTATAATTGGAATAATAATACAATACAATACATCTCACCTTAGTGATACAAAACTGGGTGGAATAGCAAACACCCCAAAAGACAGAATGAAGATCTAAGGCAATCTTGATAAACTTGAACACTGCATTGAAAGCAAGAGAATGAAATTCAATAAGGACAAGTGCCAAGTCTTACACCTAGGAAAAAGAAACCAAATGCATCAATACAAGATGGGGAATACATGGCTCAACAGAACTGAACAAGAAAAAGATCTTGGAGTAATTGAGGACAATAGGCTAAATATGAGCCAACAATGTGATGTAGCCACCAAAAGGGCAAATGCTATTTTGGGATGCATTAACAGAATTATTTCTTCCAAATCATAAGAAGTAATAGTTCCCCTATATTCCTTTCTAATCAGACCTCATCTGGAATACTGTGTCCAGTTCTGGGCATCAAGATTTAAGAAAGATGCAGAAAAATTACAAAGGGCCCAGAGATGATCCAGCATTTGGAAACACTCCCGTATGAGGAGAGACTGAGAAAACTGGGCATGTTCAGCCTTGAGAACCGAAGACTGAGGGGGGACATGATATCCGTCTATAAGTACCTCAAAGGCTGTCACAAAGAGGAAGGTCGAGATCTCTTTTTGCTGATACCAGAGTGCAGGACATGGAATAATCAAGTCAAGCTGCAACAACCCAGATTCAGACTAGATATCAGGAAAAGCTTCCTCACTGTCAGAGCAATATGACAGTAGAACCAGCTGCCTAGAGAGGTGGTGGGCTCTCCCACACTAGAGACATTCAAAAAGAAACTGAACAGCCATCTGAGTGGGATGGTGCAAATTGGTGTCCTGCAACAACAGGGGGTTGGACCCAATGGCCTTCATGGCTCCTTCCAACTCTAGTATTCTATTATTCTAGTGGGGACAAACTGTGTCTGCTCTCCAATTACTAATTGTTGATGGACCATGCCATGGTCACTTTGTAGGCTTTTTATATTTAAGCCAGAGCTAGACTTGACAACCCTTAAAACAAAGAACATGTTCAAACCGAAGACTCACCCTGGCAGCCCTTCAGGCAGAGTACTATCCTCTGTAAAGTAGGACACTTGGCTACCCTGTGTTGACCTTTGCTCTTTAGGGGAATAAATAATTGATCTAAATTTGTGATATTCATATTCTCTGCTAAATTCCCATGGCATTCTTATATACATGCTTGGGTTGCATGGAGTCAATTCATTGCATCTGGTAAAGCTTGGAACTAGCTTGGAACTAGCCAAGTCATGCATGTACCTTCTTTAAAAAGTGGGGAGGAGTTGAAATAGTTTTATGAGAGAAATTTCCAGATTTCTAAGCTATCCCAAGTCTGGTGATGTTCCTTTTCCTTCCCCATGCTGCTTCTTGAAGATGATCTCAGTTTTAGTTGGGTACTGCTCCATTCTAAACAGGCTACTTGAAACAACGGATCTGTGTGAGTCATCTTCATGTCATGACTTATGCTAGCACTGTGAAAGTGTGAATTTACCCTGAGTCATCTGTCAAGGGCAAGATCACAGCCTCTCTCTTGTCCTGTTTCCTGCGGAGGAGATGATGACATGCAGTTCCCCATTAAATTATGCTGTGATTTGCCAGAAGTCTGTCGATGGATGGGCAGATGGTGTGAATATTAGGGTTGCTATGCTTTCTTTTCTTTTTTGCTGGACAGAGGTTCCGTGTCCTGAGTGATGCTTAAAGTGTTACATGGTTTAGCACAGCGTTGCAGTGAGAAAGGGGAAAGCTTTCCTGTTGAATTTGTGTCCGTTTGGCTATTAAAAGCACCAAACCTCTGTTAGAAGCAGAAAACAGCTATGGATTCCTAAGCTTTTGATTTTTGTCTGTTCAGTACAAGCTCATCCTTTTCAGTTCTTGGCTGAATTTTTTGTGAGTTTCTGCCCTACCAATGCATTAAGCACATTTGATGAAGACTTAGATGAGGGCCTTCTCAATAGATGCTCTTAGGCTCTGGAGATTTCTTTCTGGGGACATTCATTTAACTACCTCTTGAACAAACTGCCTCTTTTTTATTTAGCTTGGCCTTTGGGCTGTCTGACTGATTTGTTTTGCATTTGTCTGTTTGCCCCTGCTTCCACTCTTTTAACTGGCTATTGTTTTATTCATTTGTTTTTACCTGTTCTGATTTAATATTGTGATTTATTTGATATTATTTCTTCCTTGCACTTGTTTTATTCTTGTTAGCTGCCTTGGGTCTGTTCACATAGAAAGACAGGATATACGTTTAATTAAGAAATAAAAATAAAATGACTTATTCACTCATAGCTATAATTTTGAACAGATGGTTCAAATACAATAACCTTGGAATGAGCTACACTTTGTAAAATGGAGAATGCCATATAGGTGAAATATGCAAGCAGTTCTTGTAGTAAAATAGGGGCAGTATATCCTTCCTATGATTCATCTTATGCTAGTTCAATCTATTACTCCAAACTCCAAAGTATTAAAATATTTATAGAATTCGACACTTAACCATCCAGTACATTTGGTGTGTTTTTATCAGTTAAAGACTTACAGTGATGTTTGGAAATGGGGCTTAGAATGGACACCATTGCTCTTTTGTGGAGAGTTGACTGTAAGTCTCCACAGAGAAGACAGAAAAATAAATAAGTGGAAAATGATGCACATCAGCATAGTGAATTCCAGCTTCACATGAGACAAAGCTGCAGTCCCACACAGCTGGAGGGCCCCAGGCTTGGGAAAGCTGCGCTTGCCCTTCCGCAAACCTGGGGGTGCAGGAGCTGACTTGATATGAAGATCCAAAGTAGTGGTGAGGAACAAGTGGCCCTCCAGCTGTTGTTGTACTACATAGCACGTCGTTAAACTGTGGAATTCATTTCCATAGGCCAC